GACTCTGGCTGTAGAGCTCTCGGTAATCTGACCGTGACGTTCTCATCGCACTGTACGGACAGTGACCAACGTACGGGGTCGTACGACATGGTGCAGCGCCAATGAGGGAATGTTTCTCACTGTAACAGTAACCACGTTGACTTTGACGTGAGCCCTGAAACGGTCTGCTAATGAGGATGTGCTACTTGAAGCTGACCGACTTCGTCGCGCCGTTTGATGTTTGCTGACAAACGGATAGCACGGTCAAAGGCTTCAGAAAAATCAATGATGCCATTTCATTCGGCATCTAATGACCGGATTGAGGCTATCTTAATGGAGACGAGTTTGATATTCAGTTCGAGGTCCTGCCCTAGTATTCTGTCATAATGAAGAGGAGCAAAACGATGCGTACCACTCATAAGGAGTTTACCGCTGCCGGAGTGTTGAGAGGGATAGTTAGTAAACTTTTCTTGTCATCTGTTTCTGATCTGTGTAAAAAACCATTTTGGCTATTTGATTGTTTAGTCTTTCGCAGCAGAAGAATTGAAACAGTGATTTTCAAGGTTGTAGGCTCAAAGCGCAAGTGATCCTGCCACAGTTTGAAATGCCGGCATGAATGCCCATTGAAAGCGCGATGAAACCTTTCCGTCAAGTTGAGTGCCCTCTGAGACTCAAAGAAGTTCAGGAGCTATGCGCTTGACGGAAGGACAGTTTCGATGCTTTTGAATGGAACAAATAAGGAAGTCTTTTTCTTGCCAAAATAGTTGACATGCAAAGTAAAACGCAGCCTCAGTACGAATATACTTACAAGTGCAAATTTTCACTACAGTCGGTAAGAATATTGAACGTTTGGCAAGAATCCGGAAAAATTCATCGAACTCATACCGCCTCGTTGCTTCATGTGGCCTATAGGCTTATGGCCTGTTTTTTATGATATTCCAATGCTCTCAGGCATGATACCGATGAAACAATTTGTGATCGACGTTTCCAGCTGGTCGATACCCGACTCAGGAAAGTGGTGAGGTTGTTGCAAGAGGTAAAAAATGGATTTTTGGTCTGCTTCGGTTGCTCCCTAGTCATCTGAGACAAAGGGAGCTACTTAATTATGCCATGAAATTCCTGAGAGATGAGACGCGTATTATGGAATATTAGTTGAGCAGAATTTGTTTTTATTAATATTTCGTTACATATAACTTTCATAATTTGAGTTCATTCATCATTGGAAGAAAGCTGTTCATCGTTTGAAAATAAAGTTCTTGAAGTCCGTTGTTTTTTAGTTGTGTCCTGAAAATCAGGCAAAGAACCGATTGTCGCACCGGGCAGACAAACATTCGTTTGTAACATTTCTCGAGAATTCAGAAGCTCAGGAACAACGAATCCCTCGGAATCTGGCGACCAAAGTGCTCATATTTCAGAGTGTGGCACTCACTCGTCTTTTGATAACCGAAAGCGGTGATAAAAATTTGTTTTTTAGACCCGTTTGTGAAATTTGTGATTCCACGATCGAAACCGAAAACCGCTCAAAAAATCTCTGGTTTGAACTTTGATATCCTGTCGAATTTGAACAGTCTTCAGAACCACAGCATTAAGAAGTATACCATGCAAAAGTTGATGAGTAATCCGAAGGTGATCAAAGAGAAAAAGCG